GGGGGGGGGATCACTCCACCTATCGTGCACATCAAGAGACAAAAGCACACTTATTATGTATGATAAAAGAAATGAATATTCATGTAATTCCCCAAAAGTACACACCTGTTTCCAGAGGATATAACACAGATGTTAATACATTGCCCAAGTGTGCTAAAAATCTGGTGAAGGGTCTCTGAGGGGCTTCCATGGGGGTTTTTGGTGGTCTGTGGTGATCCCAAGTGGTTGTTGAAGAGGTGCCTTAGTGTCCTTTACATGTGAGGGTTTTTTCATATATGGCCTTACCTTGGCTCATTGCTCTGTCTGTAAAGTTTCTCAGCTTTCTTATCTTTGTCTACCACAGGTTAGTTTCTCTGCTCGGCCCAGGATGTACCCATCACAGTTGCAAAAATTATATCCTTGGGTGCATTCTTATCTGAGGCCCCTTACAGCAACGAGCACCAACTGCTGGCAGGTATCAAGGGTACTTCAAAGTACATCAGGATGCTACTGAATACACGTTCTCTCAGTCACTGAGGTAAGCAGACATTCAAAACAAAAGTCAAGGAAATTTAGGTTAAAAAGTGATTCCCTGCCACAGTTTGGAAAATAAAAGACCTCAGAGGAATCAGGAGAGTGGGAACCCCAACTGCAGCCTGCCAGGGTGGAGGCAAAGTGGACACAGGCTCCACCAGGGCACCCTGGCTTCAGTGCTAGTTGGATATGCACACTGTTCCTTGGACATTATCTTTCCAAACACCTTCAACAGCTAGAAAATTGCTATTTGGAAAAAAACCTATTTCTTATTAATAGCCTAATAGTTCTAATTAACAGTTTATTTTTGTGTTCCAGTGATTTTAAAAGATCAGCACTGTAAAACAGGTAACTGCCTGGAAGACAGATTAATAAAAGCTCTGGTTTTGGCATATGAAAAGTACAGTAATTTTCACTGCATTATTATATATGATAAAGGACAAGCAGGTGTTTGAATGTACAGGTAAACATTTCAAGGGAAAAACCAAAACATTAGAAAGTCAGAGTAAATTTCATTTTATTTGTTTCACAAAGTCAAAAACATACAGTGTGTTTAGTCCAATGCTTCCACATCAGATCCAGAGCAAACCAAGTCATGTGCTCTTACAGAACTAATACCACTGACTTCACCATCCCTGTTCCAAAAAATTAAGAAAACTATGGGATAGGATCTGCGTCTCAGATTTGATCAGCACCATTGCATCGGTATTCAGGTTTTTTCAATGTACAGAAATGTTAGCCCCAAATCATGTCTCAGTACAACATAATTTACTTCAAAATCAGAGCTTGAAATTATTCTTTCAAGGACAGAAAACAACCTCCACTCTTCAACCATAGGAAGTCACCACAGAAAACACAGGTAGTTGCTTGCAATTTGATTTGCCTTTTAAGTTTCAGTACATTTTAGGTTTATAAAAAGGAATGTTAAGAGACCAAAATCTTTATTTAAAGAGTAGGTAAACAGACAACAGCAGCACAGATTTCTCATATTCTCTGATCCCTCTCTCCTGGAGTTAACTTCAGCCTCACTGGAGCACTCCGTGTTGGAACAGAACCGTGAAACAAATCAGTTAATTTAAATTAGAAATGTTCTTCATTTAAAGAAGTTTACTGGTTCTCATTTTAAAGTGGTCTCAAATATTCAGTATGCACATTTCAAAGGGCCTCACCAAAAAGACAGACTCATACATACTTGAAAAAGAATTTAACCATCATGGCTAACAAGGAGAGTAACTAATTTCAAGCTCTGCATTTAAAGTGCCCATAATCTTTTACATAGCAACCAGCACATAACACATAATTTGTGACATTTATCTACATTGTGTTATCACCACCTATTAAAAAGAGCAGGCACTGAACTTTTAAAAATGTTATTACAAATTGTAAAGATTACATATTACTGAAAAGTAAGAATCCATATCCAAGAACCAAGAATTTAAATACCTTTTGCAATGTTATTTTATGTATATATTTATAGATGAGCAATTACACTTATTTTGGTTTTAGGCTTGTTACCCTCAAGTTCATAACCAAAAATCATGCTGGACCGTGTAAGCAGGGGAGCACCCACGAGCTGGCTGACAATGCAGAATCATTGCAAGTACCCAAAACCTGAGCTGGGAAAATGTTACACTGTCAATGGTGCTAGGTTACCTTTTTAAATAAATACGCTCCCTTCCCGCCCCTGCCCACCTGTCCAGGAATATGCGAGAATGACGGTTTTTCTGCCCTTCACCCATGCGCACAACACAGGTGTGATGGACACCATATAACCAAGCTGCTCCTCAACAGCACTATGTCTGATTGAGTCCATGTAAGTATTTCTTACAGCACAGTGCAATTCTAGTCAGAAGCACTTCTCTCCTCATAATATCTAAGAACAAATAAAGCCTATTATTAAATCACTATCAGAAGTCAAGTCTTGTTTCACCCATATTCTCAAAACAAGACTGGTTTGCTTGTTAGAAAGTTACACCTATGATTGAAGACGTTTAAAACATTAGATCTACTCGATGCTGCAGCGTGGGTATGGAACCTGCAGGAGTCTCAGGCTTCTGAGATCGAGTTGCCTTCAACTTAATTCTTCTTCATTTTTTTCAGATAACGAGCCCGTATTTGTTTGTTGTAGTTCATGATGAAATTAATGGTAGTAGATGTAGGTAGAAGAGAGAAGAGCCATCCCTAGGAAAAAAAAAAAAAGAGGGGAAGGGAAGTCTCAGCTTTTTATAGCCTGTACTAAGTGAAATCTAACAGTTACCAGCACACACAAGTAATACCAAGTTATGATTAGAAGTTAAAGAACAAAAATATTTAACATTCAAATTTATTCTTTAATCTTCTTCCACAATAAACACATAGAAAGGACATTCCAGATGCTTATGTTTTCCAAGGTGACTTACTATGAGAGCGTGGGGTAGGTACCCGTTGGTGCGGGACTGCAGGCCTACTGTGCCCAAGGCAGCTCTGACGTACGTTTCAGGGGTGGGTTTATCAAAGGTCGGCGTGCGGATTTTGGATGATTTTGTTACCACGTAATACGGTAGAACGCTCTGCGCATAGGAAAGATCATGTTAAGCAGAGAATGCTTTCAGATTAACTTACAGATCCATCAAGGAACTAAAATCATTGCAGTTAGATAACCTGCATACTGAACTCTGGCTTAAGGTAGCCTTTTTTCAATTCTAAGATCACAATGTACAGTATCAAAACCATTTGTAATCAGATATCTTGTGGGCCACATTTGGAATGTGAGTGATAGTTCAGTGGTCTCTTGACAGTCAGCATCCCCAGCTGGGGCCCTAAAAAACAACTGTTGCAAGCATATGGTTGAAAAGCCTTTCTTACAATTTGTCTTTGAAGTACAAAACTTCTTTCCAGTTGTTTAACAGAAAATGCTGTAGTATTGCTTCTCTGTAATAAACCCCCAATGTTTGCTTGGGAAGGACGTGTAGAACCCAAGACAGAGATTTTATAGTTGAGTAACAGCTCCTCAGTTTGGCACCTGTACAGAGAGAAACATGAGGGCAGGAGGAAGGAGGAGAAAAGGGAACCCCAGGAGACTTGGAACATGGAGCTTTTAACTCCACAGGAGGGCTCAGAGGAAGAAGGTGGTGTCGGCACCTCAGTGGAAGACCTCAAGGACAGAAGAAAGGATGAAGAAACGGAGCACAACTAATGGGCTTTTATAGCAATGTTTGGAAGAAACAAAAAAAAAAAGTGATGATGGATCTCAGAACTACCTGGCCCTGGCACAAAGGAAGAGGTAAGAGGAAGTGGCACGGGTATATTGTTGACAGAGGGACACTGGTACCACAGAGGTAGGACAAGATAGGCCTGGGGGATCCAAAACCACATTCCACCTATCCCCAGCTCACACCACAGGAGAAGGAAAGGGAAGTGTGTGTATATGTGTACACTAGGAAGCAACCCCCTCTCCTCATAGTCATGGATTTGGCATTGCTTTCAACTTGTCCTCGATCTAGGCCTCTGGGGAAAAAAAAAAAAAAAGAAAAAAAAAAATCAAAACACCCCTGGTGTGTAGCCACTTAATCAGTTATTAAACACACCAGATCTCACAAGCTTCAAAACCTTAGCAACACTTTGACAAGGATCTGACAAGACACTGTCTGTGGCTGTACTAAGTACACTCTCACAGACTGTTGAGCCAGTGTGCACATTTCCGCAGGTATCTGACCCCCACAAACAGGAAGCATTGCTATGTCTGCTCATTCCTCCACTTCAGAACATTAAAACTATGCACTTCTCTCTATAAATAGGACTTTCAATAATATACTGCACGAGTCCAATTTCAAGGGACTTTCAAGTTTCGGGTCCAGAATGTGAGTCCCATCCATTTTTCAGATTACATCTCTAAACTGAATCACTAGTTTGGTGTTTTAAAAGATGAAAACAATTCTATGCTTCTTATTCATCACTAAATTATATCTGCCACACAGAGTGGCATGATAGTTATGATTTATTTTCTGTCTTCCTCTGCTCAAAACAGACTTTGTAAGTGAACTGCACTACCCAGTTAGGCCACTGGATAGCATGAAGGGGCAAACAATTCTGCATGAGGATGCCTGAAAAAGCAAGCTTACAGTAGCACTACTGGTTAGCTTTGAATCCATAGACTTCAAGGCACACAGAAGCATGGATTACACAACATTTTTTTTTTCCCCTCCCAAATGCTCTTCAGAAAACAGAGACAGGTATTTAATTTCAGAGACATTAGATTTACCATCTTCCTATTAACTGCCATATTTTAACAGCTATGAAGAGGCCTTGCTGAATCCATTAAGTTAGTTGTCCCCCTTCTTCCTCCCCACAAGGAGGCTCAGGCATTCATGAACCATATCTAAAACTGGCATGACAGATTTTAAATAAATTCACTCCTTAATGTCGTTTAGCATTTTGCATTCAGGCAAATATAACCCACACTACACAGACAAGTAACTGCATAGAAAATTCCTTCTCCTTAGCCAGGGAAAGCCTAGCCTGCTCTCCATTTCAAAACTTGCCTTAAAATAGTTTGTGTCAGTACAATGTCTCTTGCTCGCTTAAAACATTTGCTACTGCTTACAGCTCTGATGCTTATTAAAATTGCCTGGCACTCATTGGGGTCTTGAATGTTGTATTGATGCAAGAAGTCAGATCTCAAGTCCTGGAACAGAAGCCTCCACTAACTATGCTACAGTCCCATGAAAATAAGCCTCCAAAAGTCAGAAGAGCTTGTTTATACAACTTTATCACTTATTTCACCCTACTACTAAAAAAGGCCTGAACTCAGGTATACCCAAGGAAGTTTCTTTCCATTTCTTTGTGGGTAAAAGGAGGGTGGAGACGTAAAGGGGAAATGGAAGAGTTGCATCAACCAAAGCTGACCTGTACAGAAAGCTAAAAAACAAAGCTAAAAAGCTTTGGAGGAAGGAAGGCAATGGCATTAAGCCATTAACCTGGTGCCAGCACACTTTTGTGAATACCTGGGTTTATTCAGTGTGGTGAAAAAGAGACCTGCCTAACATTATTTCAAGAACAGTTATGAAGATGAGAGCCAAACTCCTCTTGGTAGTGTCAGTTAAAATAACTAGAGGTGAAACTGTCCATTTTGGCTGTGGATTGTCAGACTGGACACTAGTGAGAAAGTCTTTTGCAGTACAACACTCGAATAGGCTGTCCAGAGAGATCACAGCATCCCTGACATTGAAGGTTTTCAAGGTTTGGCTGGATAAAACCATGACTAGCCCATGACCGAGTGTTAGCAGTAATCCCACTGCTAACTGCTAGGCACTCCCACTGCTAGGAGAGCAGGAGGTTAGACTAGAAAATTTCATACAGCAATCCCTTCAAACAAACACTTGCATGATTTTCACAGAATCACAGAACACCAGGTTGGAAGAGACCTCAGGGATCATCTGGTCCAACCTTTCTTGGCAAAAGCACAGTCTAGACAAGATGGCCCAGCACCCTGTCCACCTAATCTTAGAAGTGCCTGATGCTGGGGAATCCACCACTTCCCTGGGGAGATTATTCCAGTGAATGATTGTTCTCATTGTGAAAAACCTTTCTTTTGTGTCCAATCTGAATCTCTGCAGAAGTAACTTGTACCCATTACCCCTCATCTTCTCCATTTGATTCCTTGTAAAAAGGGAGTCTCCATCTTCTTTGTAGCCACCCTTTAAATACTGGGACATGGTGATAAGGTCTCCCCTAAGCCTTCTCTTCTCAAGGCTGAACAAACGCAATTCTCTCAGCCTTTCCTCACGTGTCAGGCTGCCCAGTCCCCTGACCATCTTTGTGGCCCTTCTCTGGACCCTCTCCAGCCTGGCCACAACTTTTTTTTCACAGAACTGAACACAGTACTCCAGGTGTGGCCTGACAAGCACTGGGTGGGATAATGACTTTATCTCTGCTGGTGATGCCCTTGTTGATGCAACCCAGCACCCCACTGGGTTTCTTTGCCACAGCAGCTCACTGTTCACCCGTATGGAGATTGTTGTCCATGGTGGACAACATGGATCTACCCACAGAACTGCTCCCCAACTGGGTTGATCCCAGACTGTGCTGCGCTCCTGGATTATGTGGCCCCAGTGCAAGACCTTACACTTGTCCATGTTGAACCTCATCAGGTTCTTGTTAGCCCACTCTTCCAGCCTACCCAGCTCTCCCTGCAGGGTGGCTCTCCTTTCTGGAGTGTCCACTTCCCCGCTCAGTTTGGTACCATCAGCCATCTTCATGAGGGTACACTTGTTCCCATAATCCAGATCACTTGTAAAGATCTTAAACAGCACTGGGCCCAATATCGATCCCTGGGGGACCCCACTTGGGACAGGTTGACAGTTATAAAAGCAGCAATTTCCCAGCCCCTCTGGGTGCGTCCTGCCAGCCAGTTCCTCACCCACCCACAGACCACTTGTCTAGGCCGTAATGCATCGCTTTCTCTAGGAGGAGGCTGTGGGGAACTCTATGAAAAACCTTGGAGAAATCCAGGCAGACAATGACCATCTCTCACCCCACATCAACCAAGCAGGTTACTGTGTCGTAGGAGGTGATCAGGTTTGTCAAGCACAATTTGCCCTTGGTGAATCTGTGCTGGCTTTTCCCAATCACATGCCTCATCTGACTTGTGATAGCCCCCAGGAGGATTCATTCCATAACATTCCCAGGGATTGAAGTAAGGCTGATGGGCTTATAATTTCCTGGATCCTCCTTTAAGCCCTTCTTGTAGACGGGGGTGACATTAGCCTTCTTCCAGTCTTCTGGGACATTCCTCAATCTCCACAACTTCTCACAGGTTATGGAAAGCAGACTTGCAACGTCATCCAGTTTAACACCCTCGGGTGTTAAGAATATACTTGTAGGGCTCAAGCTCCTGTCATAGTTCACACACCAACACTTTCTTCACTGACATGGGTCTGTGTTTGCACCAACCTGGATTTTTATTCCCAAGCCCTTGGGGCCCAGCAGTGCTGGGAAAGACAGAGGTGAAGAAAGCGTTGAGAACACCTGCCTTTTCAGCGTTGTTCGTGACTAAATTCATCCCTCCTGTTGAACAGTGGGCTAATATTCCCCTTCTGTTTCTGCTTGCTGTTTACATGCCTGAAGAAACCTTTCTTGTAGTTTTTGACATCTCTGGCTTTTCTGTGATCTGATATTTTATATAGTGGATATGGTAGAAGAAAGCAGGTAATTAAAGTTTTCACTGTTATACTTTTGCTATCCATAGTAATGATGCATAGAGGGAAAATGCCAATAATTAAAGTTTTAAAAAGGGAGTAAAAGAAAGGGGAAAAAACTAAGCAATATTTTTTAGACATATTCAAAGAGAAAAAGTTTCAGAAGAGTCTGCAGAAACTGTTCAGGGAGAGACTTTTCCAAGAGAGTCTTGAGAGAAGTCCTTGTTGTCACCTTCCTCATTTCTTCTCTTTTTGCCCAATTCTTTCTCTCCATGTAAACACATATGGAATTTTAACCTATGCTATTACTGTGCTTCTTCTGTAAAACTAAGCAGGCTTGTCAGCCAGAAAGCATATTTTTAGTCTAAAGATGGCTACATTGCAGTAAAAGCACTATATATTATCAAAGCTTCCACAGAGAAGGCTATCCGCTTG